ACCATCATCCTGAAGCTAAAGTCAGTACACTTGGACGGGGAGTAACTTGCACCTTCATCATTCACCATCTACCATGCAGGCACGAAGAGCTTTACCTTCTGCTTCCTCAGGATGCTTCCAGTGATCACTTCTTAGTCCTGTGTCTGCTGAATGAATCTCAGCGTAATGGGCTAGAACAATCAGCCTTTTCTTAAGGAAGATAAAAGCAAAAATAAGTTTAAAAATCTAAATAGTTCAAATGAGTAACAAGAAATACTGATAATTTGTCAGTATGGTGGAAAAAAGCCAACAACTGCCCATGCCAGCAAGCTCCCATTCTAAGGAGCTATTTCAGGCCCTAAATAGTTATCAGTGAAGGGACTTTTTAATGTGGCTTCTGCTGTTTTTATAAAAATGTGATGAGGCTTATGAAAGAAATTGTGTATTAAATTTAAATAAAAGTATTAATGGGTGAGAAAATGGTTTTAAATATAGCCATGAAACAAATCTCACCAGAAAAACTGAGATAGATGTGTGTAATCTAGTAGTTAATTGGGTAAATTAGATTGAATTGCTTGTTTAAGACAAGACAGTTAACTATGCTGCACACCACAAACAACTTCATATTTCTCCATTTTTCAGCACAGATCACTAATTACTCATAGCAAAAGATACATTCCAACTTTGGAAACAGGGATATTGAAAGCATATGAAATTCTTGTGAAATATGACATCACTTTTTACAGTAGAAAAAGCAGCACAAATCAACAACTCTGTGCCCCTCCATTAGAGGGACTGAGTATGCACCTGGTTCAGAAGAGGTATTTTTAAGCTATTCAGTTATTAGTATTTATTATTACATTTTGTTAGCAGGACTCGTTTTCAACAATTATTTTAGTTTATTACTATTACTTTCAATGTCATTCTTTTTCTAGACACTTTTCACTGATGCAGTGTGTCTCTGTGCAAAGTTGCACCCTTGAGCATATACTCCCCTAAGGCAAACAGGATCTTGGATATCAAGAATTGTTATGAAGAACTTCTGTTTCTTCACTTTTAATTTTCAATCGATCTCCTACATTTTCAGTAACTTAATCCAGCGGATGGGTATGCTGTGCCTCCTCAACTGTGTTTCTTTTCTGTCACATATCCTTTAAGTTGTGACTGTGGTCCTTGAAAACTTCTTAAGCAAAGGATTTATTAGTTACTGGTTTAATCCCTGTAATATATAGCCCAAGTTTCAGTATTTTAGGACTATGAGATTAGTAACTATAGAGAATTAGCACTTGCAGCTTCCAAGCTGCTTCCAGCAGCTTCCAGGTGAGAAGACTGATGGATCTGCAGAATGAGTTTTCAATCAGATGAGAGTTTAGGAATCTCGCTATTGAAAACTTCACCACTATACTACAAAGTATCACAAAGAGAAGAGGGTGACTATGCGTAAATCTGGTTATGTTTTTGAAAATAACTTCTATCTTTGAGATTATCCCATAGAGGTTTACCTACTTCACTATATGTTTACTTCATTATAGGTTTACATACTTCATACACAGAGGTTTACACACTTCATTCCCATCACCAACATGCGAAGTAACTCTGAACTGAGGGCTAAAGGCATACAGAAATCATGTTGGCCTTTCTCTTTTTTGGTGTATGAATGAAAAACTACAAGAATTAATTTATTTTTGAGCAAAAATCTGACTTTATTTCAGAAGGTGAAATATACTATAGAAGACAAAGTTGGGGTTATTTTCTCTTTGTTGCTGGGCAGTATTTTGCCTAAAAATATGTTTTGGAAAGAATACAGGAGACATTACTTCTGAAAGTTGCACATTTAAGTTCACAGATGGCTGGCTTCAGGTGGATGAAAACCAAAACAGAAGTTAGGATCCCAGTTCCCTTAGACCCCTTTGGCAATTCTAGCTTTCAACTTCAACAAAAATAGATGGGTAAGGAAAAAAATTAAACATATTATCTCTAAAACCAGATAATCCCAATAAGTTATCATTAACTCTACATTTAAGTCAGGAATATCGAAAACTACAACCTAAGGAAAAAATACATAAAACTTAAATCTGAGTTTTACCTTTTTTTAAAATTTATTTCAAATTCATAAATAAAAGTGGTTTCATTTTTCAATATAACTAATTATTTCCTGAACATGGTAAGATGGTACATTATCAGCTCTGGAAGGACTTCAAGTAAAGCTCAAGTTCATACTACTAATGAATGTATATTCTTGATCAGTATAAGGATCCTTTTCACATTCTATGAAAACGGACATGTATTTTTTCCCAGTTGCCAAATATAATACCTCTATTACTTAAAGCATTATTGTCTGTATCCCCAAGGCTTTTCAAAAGATTCTTAGCAGCAACAAAACAGGACCGACCTGTTTCTTAGTCTTTCTTTCTTCTTGAACACAGGCACAGCAGCAAATGATCTCCCATAAATCACAGAACAGAAAAAACCCCACAAAATCTCAATGGCACTGCTTATCCAGAGATTGTTTTACACAAACTAGTGTCTACGTTCTCTACAGAAATAAAAAATAGTGTAGCAGGCTAAAAACATTTAAAACACTTACACAAGGATTCAATAAACAATCAATATTAATAAATACAATTTGATCCTTCAAAAATTAATTTTCAAAGAAAATAAAATGTATTTGGCTTGCACACAATTTTAGTGCAGTTTCAAATGGTCAGGTGGAACAACAAAACCTTGAAAACAGTCCATTTTGAGTATCTGCCCTTTTCTGGATGATTTACCTAGTGAACAAACACAAAACATCATGGCTTTCTATTTAAATGCTCAAACAATCTATTTAAAAGCAGGGGTCCGTATCAAAGTCCACAGTTGCTTGTACTAGCAATCTAAAACAAAACACCCATATGTTCACTGAACTTAAGTTGAAGGTTGTCTATGCTGCTGTCCTGTGAATCCAGATGCTTTAGCGAAAGACGTTTCTAAAAAATGAGTGATGAGCCTGTATTGCAGTTTACCAGTGCTTAGTATCCCTCATGATTCTTGTTGGGTCCTCTTCTGTGAGGCTTTTCCCTGAGTCATGTATTTATTGGAAAGGCTGCCTAAGATTGTGAGGAAGAAAGCATTGCACATTAAGGGTGACAGTTCTTTGGCTGTTCTTTTTCTTGAAAAAGAAAGACAAGACATGACCAACTGAAACAATCATACAGGAAGAAATTACTATTAAGCCAAACACACAGAGATGAACTTTTTTACCTGCTAGAGGACAGCAAGAAACATTAAAACACAAAACTAATAAGCATTTTTTTCAATTAAACATCTCATGACAAATCACTTTATGTTTAAAATCCCCACACTTATGATCTGTAAAAGCCTTGCAGTGAAGGCAAAAAACACTGTGTCTTCCCAACAAAACTGGGAACTTAATTTGAAATACTTAATTGCAATCAAGTTTTTATAAATGTTGGAAAACTAATTAGGTCCCTCTTTAGCTGCCTCAGAAGAGATTTGCATATTATACACCCAAGCTGCTATAAGGTCTGCAGAGCTGTACTGCAAACAAAGTAATTTGAAAAAATCAGTCATTTTTATAATCTTCACTGTACCTATTAATAAGTGTGTGAAATTTCTGTATGGAAGCTACATTTGTAATCATGCATTTAAAGCAAAACTTCTCTGGTCCAGAAAGAGTAAACAAAGGCCCTTTGTATTACAATCTCACTGCTACTTCTAAGTGTGCTTTTAACTTGTTTGCATTTTGGCAGCTTAGATCAAGGATGTGGTTTGATAGTCTCTCCTAAGTTAGTTTATCATGTATAATTCTAGACAATTACTCTGAGAAAGCCTCAAAAAAGCACTCTACTTGTTGTCCCTGATGAATCAGAAAACATGTATGCCAAAACTGGAGAGAGACTGACAAAACCCCACCATATCCTTCTGCAAAATAAATCTACCTGAGACAAAGAAATAAATGTACAGGATTGTTATATCCAAGTTTTGCTTCCAAAACAAAACTCAAATATTGCACATTTTTCCAGTTAAAAAAAATTAGGGTGGCTTCACTTCAAAATTATCTACCAACCAGTCCAGACTACTGCTGTTTTCAGACAGAGTTCTCATAAGGACTGATGGAGAATCATATAATCATAGACTACTTCGGGCTGGAAGGGGCCTTTAAAGATCATCTAGTCCAATGTCCCTGCAATAAGTAGGGACACAGTCAACTAGACCAGGTTGCACAAAGCCCCATTCAACGTAACCTCGAATGTTCCCAGGGACAGGGCATCCACTACCTCTCCAGGCAACCTGTGCCAGTGTTTCACCACTCTCATTTTAAAACACTTCTTCCTTTAATCTAAGTTGACACTTTTTTAGTGTCAAGCCACTACTGCATGTCCTATCACAGCAGTCCCTGCTAAAAAGTTTGTGTCCACCCTACTTAGAGGGCCCTTTCTAGAACAGAAATGCCACAATAATGTCTTTCTGGAGCCTTCTCTTCTCCAGCCTGAACGACCCCAACTCTTTAAGCCTGTCCACAGGAGAGGTGTTCCAGTCCTCTAGTCATTGTAGTGTCCCTCCTCTGGACTCACTGCAACTGGTCCATGCTGTTCCTATGCTGGGGACACCACAGCTGGATGCAGCACTCGAGGTGGGGTGTTACCAGAGGAGAGCAGAGGCCGAGAATCATCTCCAACTTGCTGGCCAGGCCTTTTTACAGAGTTTATGAAATGAAATGAAGATATACAAACCTGACTGGGGACTCAAAACCACTTTTTCTTTCTGTTTCTTTTTTTCTTCATGTATAAGCACTCCCTATAAAAAACATACACACATCAATGAACCATCAAATTTGAAATATGTCATTCCACAACATGAAAGGTTTAAATAAACTTAAAGCTTAAATAAAGCTATTTTAAATTACTTTATATGGACATCAGAACACTTAAAACATAAAAGATGAAAGAAAAGGGACACTTGGAGTTTACCTGATTTAATCTACCGCCATGTTTGACAGCGCTAGGTAGAGAAGGGGATCCGCACAACATTTCTGGTTTTGAGCCACCTGAAAACATCATAACAGATGCTAATACGAAACTAGCTTCCATTTCAGGTATCATAACATAGAAAAATACCAAATATTTGCAATCTAAAATCACATAATGTAGAAGGTAGGACACTGTTATTTTCCTCAATTTTATAATGTGGAAAACTGGCATAATGAGGTGAGATACATCTAAGTTAGGAACGTACAATAAATAAAGCTCTGTATCCTCCTCCAGAATCAGCAGGAGACAGGAAGCGTAGAATGAATGAAGATATGGTGATAAGTGATCTGTCTGTAGTCTCACAAAACAGAGAAAAGAACACAGTCTGATCTCTTAGGTTCATTTGTTCATAGCACCTTATTCAACTAGAGGCAACATGTCAGGCAGTAAGCAAGCAATAAAAGACAGAGTCCAAACTACAGCAATTCTTCCCAAATACAGGTAACAGACAGAAACACCTACTCCAGAATTTATCATTTTGGACTTACATACCTTAGCAAATTCAGTGTCATGGCAAACAGAATGGTAGGAAGAAAAGCTCAATGAGACAAGGTCAAAGATAAACTCAAAAGTTAAATTTAGACTTGACATATAGCTTCAAAAGGTCAGAAGCTGAATTAAACATGGCCTCAATCTTTAAACATCTTTTCTGTCTATCCAACACTTAGAGTAGTCTATCAAACTAAGAATACTTCTAAATAACTTCAAAGTTCTGAATATATTTGCACAATTTTCTTCCCTCTTCCAGTACTTTGTTAACACAGTCTTACACCCTCTTCCACCAAAATACATCTGGTTAAGAAGAGTCTCCTGATGATCTAAACCAGAGAGAATATCTTTGTTTGTAGAGAATAGCTGGTTTGAAAGTATGTTTATACAAAAGTTTTCTATCTGTTCCTTTAAGAGGTCAAGTAATGAGTAATATGTAGAGCAAATTATTCCAGTCTGAATTTGAACACACCTAGGCTTATCTACAGGGAAACAGTCATACTGTCTTCCTCTGGAAGTTAACTAAAGTAAGTATCTTAAGTCTTAGTTTTATCTTAGAATGATATTCCTTTACAACACAAATGATGGAGAGATCCATCTTATCTGAAGGATAACTTAGACACTGCTAAGCAAAAGTATTTCCATATTTCACACGTCTGTCAGTCAGGAACTGTAAGACAGACTGCTGTATCCCTCCAACTGCTGAGGGGGCAGGAACCTTCTTTATTTTACTTCGTTCACAATACTTTATCTGAGTCGTCTGTATACTTTCCTAGGGACTTCAGGGTCATCCGCATGGAATAATTCTGGTTTAGGTGATGTGAAGAGCTATAAGGCTAACTTTTGTTGCAAATATGATGTACTGGAAGAGAAGCTGTAATTTGAAATGTTAGCAAGCTCATATATGGTGACAACAGAGGCAATTTCAACATATTTGATACTCATACCCTTTTTATTACAAGTATCTTATCTGCTGAGAGAAATCATGCCAAATCTGCAGGATACAGCAAATTTCTGAAAGGAAGGTGAGGATG